CTTCTTACCTTGTCTTTCCATATTCGTCGCCAACACAACAAAATTGGAGAAAACAGTGAAAATCACGGAGCCATCGACAAAAACAGCGCGATTCATCTGATCACATCATGTAAACAGAGAGGGCTGTGTACACCGTTATTAATCCTCACTGCGAAAAATTTTCTTTTACTTATTCTTTTCATACAATATTTATGGGTAACAGCTAAGTTTGCAAAAAAATTTAAAACGAAATTTACAGAATACCTCTCAAAAAACATTTCACAAACAAGACACGAATCAATTGAACATGTGATGTCGAACGTGAACTGTAAACATTGCATAACCCCGCGCCGCGCTAGACTTAAAACGTTGAGGATGGAATCAAAACATTGAGGTTGGAATCGTGTTATAACCAACATTCGTATGCAAAAGTTCGCGTTTTACAAACAGCGTTTCCCTATTCATCAATCGCTTTACAACCAATTTGCGTTGAAGCAGAAATGACTGTAACTGGTATGAGGGCTGTGACGTCATTCAAGACGGTGGCCAGCATTCAGCTAGCTGGATCTCGCGTAATTCAAAAACGCAAAATGAAATTGCGCGAAATATGAGATCTTATTGTACTGTATTTATTATTTGGTGTTTATAATATTGCAATGCAATCAAATATATTCTAAACAAATTACAGGCATCCCCCGCATTACGGAATTTGTAAATTGTGACCAATAATTTCGCGTTAAGGCCCGTAAATCCGCCCTTACGGAAATTGGGGTAAATTTTAACAATTTAAAAAAAATCACTATATAAAATTATAATTTGTTTGGTGTGGATTTCTTGGTGTTTGCTACCGCCAAGCGTGGCATCGCCACAAGGAGTCAGTCCATTGTTTACATCCAGTGTGCACGCACGTTTCTCCCCCCAGCAGTTGGATTTAACTTTTACAAACATACAGTAAGTACAGTACAGTGCATTACCCTTATTCAAGATGACTGGAAAGAGGCCATTAAGTGGAAGTGACCGCAGTAGTGCAAAAACAAGCTGCAAAGGTATTACATTGGATATTAAACTTGGTGTTTTAAGAAGGTATATCATAAATTATTTAATGTACTGTATTGTATGTGTTTATAAATGTTTATTTTCATTAATAAAAGAGCTTGAATTACTTTTTTGGGGCCAAAAAAATTCCTTAGGAATGCATCTCCAGTTTTATAATGGAAGTCAATGGGAAAATAGGTTTCGCGTTACGGAATTTCGCAATACGGTCAATTTTCTCTAGGAAAGGAAATCCTTCCGTAACGCGGGGGATGCCTGTATCTCCAACCAATAATAGCTTCAGATATCTAAAAATAATATTGTATAAAGTTGTACAGTCACCCAAAAAAGACCTGTCGCGAACCATGAACCCTGAGATTCAGACTCTTGCATCCAAAGCATTTATGGGCAGAATAACATATCAGTATCTCTTGTTTCGGGTTTACGAGTCTGAATCTCGGGGTTCGTGGTTCGCGACAGGACTTTTTTGGGTGACTGTACATGTGCTGTGGGATAACTGAGAAGTGCAGCTGGCAGATATAAGACTACTACAGTACAGTACAGTACAGTACCCTTGTACTGGACTCTGATAGGCCCAGTTCTTATATGTTCTCTGCCTTTATGTAAATAAACAATTCTTCTTTGGTAATTTTTTATCCGTGTGTACATGCACACATGGATAACTTGTGGGGTATAAAGCTTTCACTCAAATGTTTTTATTGATAATGCTTGTGTTAAGGACAGCTCCAGTAGTTTATTTCTTCTTTAGTACCAGTAAAGTGTAAGGTACAGTATTTTCATACAGTGCTATAATAAAAAATAAGCATAGTACAGTGGTCCCGCAGTTAACGAGCGCCTCGGTTAACGAGATTTCAGTTAACGAGTTACCTCCCATAAGATTCTTAAATTCGGTTAACGAGCAACCCTCGGTTAACGAGTTTCTTACGAGCCGACCTCAACAAGTTTTGGCTTGCACTGGGCGGTCAGCCAGCTGTAGTATTAGTCCGCCAATACATTAATCAGTTCTAGGGCTTAAATTCCTTACTATTTTAGTATATATCAAGAAGTTTATACTATTCAATAATTTTGAAAGTTTAATATTAAATTTTTTAGTCATTTTAACAATTATTGAACATAATTGAAGGTAAAGTGACTAGTTTAATGCGCAGCATCCAGCCTCTTAACACAGCAAACAGGCGTTAGTCTCTCTCTGTTTTCACTGGAGGTAACATCTTGCTTGAGACTTTCTTCAACTAAACGCTTTTTTTCTGTGTTTCCAAGCAAATTATTGGTCATTTTGAAATTTATTTTACTTATTGACAATATATAGCGCAGTGCAGTGTTATTTTAAAGAAAATATTCTTTATTTACAACAAGTTTAACTTTGAAAAGCACGTGTTGACATTGTTTGAATCCAGCATGGGGCCTAAGAGATCAAGAAAAGCGATTTCAATCCAAACCAAGCAGGAAATCATAAAAAAACATGAACAAGGCATTAGAACAAATGCGCTATGCAAAGAATATAGCATGTCGACATCAACTGCGTCAACAATTCTTGCATACAAAGACAAATTTAAAGAAGTGAAAGTGAGAGACAAATCTACAAGAGTGTTTGAAAGTAGATCCCCAATTGCAGAAACTGAGAGGTTACTTTTCATCTGGATTAAGGAAAAACAGATGAAAGGTGCTTCAGTTTCTACTGAATTCATTTGTGAAAGAGCCAGGGAGATTTACGAACATTTAAAGACAGATCAACCTGGTTCTTCAGGCACAGAATTTGAAGATTTTCGGGCCAGCAAAGGCTGGTTCAAAAAATTTAAGAAAAGAAGTGACATTTTCAGTGTTGTTAGGCATGGTGAAGCTGCTAGTGCTGATAAGGAAGGGGCAGCAAAGTTTTTAGATGAATTTAAAAAACTGATGGAAGAAGAAAATTATCTTCCACAGCAAGTGTTCAATGTGGACAAAACTGGGCTGTTCTGGAAAAAGATACCCAAAAGAACATTCATCACCAGAGATGAAGCCTCTTTACCTGGGCATAAACCCATGAAAGACCGTCTCACTCTATTGCTTGGTGCCAATGCTTCAGGGGATTTCCGACTGAAGCCTATGCTTGTCTACCACTCTGAAAACCCCAGGGTGTTCAAGCAACAGAAAGTGGTAAGAACAAAGCTTGGAGTTTATTGGAAGTCCAACCGTAAGGCATGGGTGACAAGACAGCTCTTTAATGAATAGGCTGTTGATGTGTTTTGCCCTTCTGTCAAGAGCTACCTAACCACCAATAATCTCCCTTCAAAGGCTCTTCTCCTCATGGATAATGCTCCTGGTCATGACCCTGACCTTGCCAGAAATTTGGAGTATCAATTTGACTTTGTGAAAGTGTTGTTTTTGCCTCCCAACACTACATCAATCATACAGCCAATGGACCAGAATGTGATCAGCAACTTCAAGAAGTTGTACATGAAGAAAATGTTTAGGTGGTGTCATCAGGCAACTTCCAATGATCCTGAACTAACACTGAAACATTTCTGGAAGACACAATTCAACATCCTGGAGGCTGTAAAATTGATTGTGTCATCATGGCAAGAAGTCTCCACTAGATCCCTCAATTCTTCATGGAAAGCACTGTGGCCATCAGTAGTCCATGATTTTGAGGGATTTGAGGAAGAAACAGAGTTGGACCAGGAGATTGTGTCCATTGGTCAGTCATTGGGCCTTGAAGTGGAGGAGGAGGATGTGGAAGAGCTTGTGATGTCTCATGAGGAGGAACTTACTCCTGATGACTTGAAGCAACTGGATGAGATGTTACAGGTAGAAGCTGACAGTGGTGAGGAGGAAATTGAAAGTGATGACCATATGTCAGCTAAACAGTTGAAAGATGTGATTTACTACTGGGAGAAGTTCAGGGAACTGGCTTCAAAGTACCCAGAAGTGGAAAAAAACTGAACTAACTTTGTGTCATGTTGAGGACTCGGTGGTCTCCTTCTTTAAACATAAGTTAATGGTGAGGAGGACAGATGCCCCACAGACCACAAATGACACTTTCTTCAGTAAAAGGCAGAGGGAACAAGATGCTAGCCCTCAGCCTTCCACTTCAAGAAGGAGAGAGGATGTTCATGGTGGAGAATCTGTCAGTCCAGAGGTTCCTGACATTTTCATGGAAGGTGACTCACCTTCCAAGAAGCAGTAAAATGCTTCTCCTCCACCTCCACTTCCTTCTCTTCTCCCTTCTCCACCTCCCACTTCAAATGCACATCATCATCATCATCCAGGAGCCTTCTACATACACACCTCAAAGTAAGTGAACTTTTCTACCATTTTTGTTGAATTTAGGCAATTTTCGGTGAGCTGGAACCAATTACCCAAAAACCCATTGAAACAATGGTTTCGGTTAACGAGATTTTTGGTTAACAAGCAACCTGCTGGAACGGATTGTGCTCGTTAACCGAGGGACCACTGTATACACCCTGTACTGTACTGTACAGTTAACACTACAATTTGTTGTGGATGTATCCAGTAGTTTTTGTGGATTCAAACAAAGAACTACTACTTTTGCAGAATGAGATCGTGATAAAAAAAATGAAAGCGGTGGGTTAGAAACTGTCAACATAAAAGATTTACTTTGTCACACACACATCAATTTGTCTCCTAATGTTAATCCTACACTACATCACCTACTCCTAGTTCTTCTTTCTCTTCCGCCCTCATTAAAACTTTACAATACTTTACTTCCATGTACTGCACCCTAAAATTACAATTGTTCATGTACAGTAATAACAACAATTAATATGATAAAGAGGTCCACTCTCAACCAAAACTTCTCCACCACCTGGGCACGACGGCTGTGAGAACGATAAAAATGGGGCGTGTCATCTCATAATGATTTCAGATCCTTCGTTCACTCTTCAGATTACTGTACAGTACGTAGTGGTTACAGTGGCCGAGAAACTTTTGGGTGAGAGTGTACATAATCAAGAAAGAACGTAACGTACCTTTTGGATGAACTTCTCAACACTCTGGACCACATGTTTGTAGAATTTTATGGCTCTTATCGCGCCCTTTGTAATAGCTGTCATCTTTGCCTTCGATATCGGGGGCTTGCATTCGTAAAGCCCCGCGAGCTGTAAAGGAAATGCACATCAGCATATATCATCAGGTGTTTCAGGTTAATTCAGACACTTTTAGGGAGTATTGTGAGCACCATCCTCATATTCAATGGTAAGTGCTAGAGAGGTACAAGGGAGGGAGGGAGGGAGGGAGGGAGAGGGGGAAGAAGAGGAAGGGAGGGAGGGAGGGAGGATAGGGGAGGGAGAAGAAGGGAAGGAAGAGGAGGGAGAAGATGGGAAGGAAGGGTGAAGGAGGGAGAGGAAGGAAGAGAAGAAACAAAAGAATAAAGGAAACTGCAGTGGGACTATTGGCCCATACTGGGAAGGGTAGAGGAAGGGAGAGAAGATGGAGATTGGAGAAGGAAAGAGGGAGGGAGGGAGAGATTTGATATGCTTACTATAAAACAATCAAACAGAAAGATTGTCAGGATACATAGAGAAATCAGGAAGACACAGACACTGTACTATAATAATTTATCCCAACATAAGACATGAGGGTTGAAAATATAAGTCAACAGCACATACGACTGTTGTTGCTCTACATAAGAGTTGAGATGGTTGTGAATAAATGGGTACAGTACAGAAGTTATGTCATCAGCGATCACACAGAGTAAAACATGACAATGACAGGTACGGCATATACTGTATGTCATTGTTGTGAAGAGGTTGAAGGTGGGAAACAATGGGTATCATTATTGTTTCAGTCATGCAAGGAGTTTAGGTTAGGTTAAAATTATGTTTTTCCGATGGTTTTTGATGTGTTGAACGGTTCTGTCCTTAGGAAAATAGGTGCATGACCGTAGCGATGATCTTACCAACCAATGTACCTTATCTGCAATGTGTCACTCACTACACAGCCAACTGTACATTCAGTAAGTGCAAAAGTACCATAAGTACAGAACTGTACTGTACATAACAGAGTGGATATTTTATACTACTAGTATAGGCTAGTGCATAGAGGTGTATATGGAGGGAGAGGAGAGTGACAGTTAGCAACACCTGCTACAGGAGATGGTACAGACCATCCTGTATCATCATATCACCACCTACATCACAACCTCAACACGACAGCATCTGTGGGGGTGTTGCCGAATAGAGGGTTTATCTTGGAATTTGAAGCACCAGTAAACCCTCTGTAACTGGCTGTGAAGCCTGTGTTCAGATCTCTAGAATCAGCTTTAACTGTATCATTAAAACTTAAAATGGTTGGTATATAAACAGCAAGAACAAAACCATATACTGTATCATTAATAAAGGTATAAAGTTAGTGTACAAACTGCGTTACAGTCGCCTTATTAACTGTGCTACACCTTGGACTGTCTCAGCTCCACACTCACCACAGTGGAGACTGGTAGATACTTAAAACTTTATACATAATGATAATTATTTATTTTAGTTATTTATTTTCACACTTTCTGTATACGTGTAGATTTGTGTGTGCATGTAACAGTAATAAAAATAAATAAATAAATAATACAAAATTTGGTACATTACAGTGTATGTGCCCAAAATTATGCACTGAAAAATACCTTATGATAATTAATGGTATTTGTTTTCTTTTGCACTCTATGTAAGACTAAGTGTAACTAAATTAATAAAATTATAATAAATATTGAAATTTGGAGTTTGCTACCATAGACTATGCTATTATTACTCTAATCGTACAGTAAGTCCGCGCTTAACGTCGTCCCGCTTAACGTTGTTTCAGTACTACGTCACTAAACTTCAGAGACCAAAAATTCACTTACTGTCCCGGTGATCCAATACTACGTCGTTTTGCGTTGTCACGGACTACTTTCTACGGCGCATCACCCGCTCGTCTGGCCACGCTACGCTCTCTTAGCTCGGCACAGTCTCACCACCCTCCTCCTCCTCTCCCGCCATACTTCTTCGCTCCACTACCCACCACACACTCGCACTACCACCTCTGCCCATCGGTGAGTACCAATGCAAACTTAGCATCCTCCTCGACTTATGACCTATTCGACTTACGACTACCCGCACTTACGACCTGCCTCAGTCGTACCAAAATTTCGTCAAATTACGTATTTTCGAGTCCCAAAGTCAGTCCACAGACAAAATTTTCATCTGTAATTCACTTTAAAATGGCTGGCAAGCTTAAAAGTGAGTGTTTTGTGGTGCTGAGAAGAAAAAGAGACACCCATTTTAGATTTTCTATGTATTATTTAAGCATTTCCGGCGTACGACCATTTCGACTTACGACGTGGATGTCAGTCCCTAACCCCGTCATAAGTCGGGGAGTACCTGTATTTCTTATGGGGAAAATTGATCCGCTTAACGTTGTTTCGTAAAACGTCGCGTTTTTAGGAACGAAACCCCAACGTTAAGCGAGGACTTACTGTACAAGCAAACTAGACGAGGGTCGGTGTTGACCACTGCATAACTTGTCATGGATGAGCCTACAGTACAGTCATTCATAAGTGCAGGAGATCTTTAGAAATATTGTCCCCATTTATATTTTATAGAAAATTTCCCTCAAGTTCGTAGTTAACTTTTGATAATGTTTTCCAGTACAGCACAGTATAGGGAACCCTGGGGATCCTGGACTGGATTACATGATAAAAGTGGAGGAGACAGACAGTTATCACCACAAGGATGGTCACATGGGGTAGAAAAATAAATACAAATAAAAAAGGACCCGGGGTAAAAAAAAAACGGGCACATAAACTGTTTTTTTTCTGTAGGTTGGCCACTTAATTCCTCACAAGTGCTGCCTCTATGTCTGTTTATTTCCATGATATGAACAATAGAAAAAGTCTAACAAATTCATGAAAAAAATTCCATTTTTTAATTACTTCGCATCTGATGGGTACAGTATTAATTGTATACAATACCTGTACTGTATATACTGTACTCTTATGTGTGAGTGTGAAGGGATTGTTATTTTTAATCATTAGGCCAAATAATGTATTAGCCCCTGTCTCATGGCAATAACAATTATATAAATTTGGGTTAATACATTTACTTTATATAATCCAATCACCCTACTGTAATTTTCCATAAGCTGTGAGCTGCCATGTTCTGTTCACGTGAGGGGAAATTCCTCTATCAGTAAACCGACCTTGAGAAGGTAGGGTTAGCCAGGCCTCCCCTTCAGAGCCCCTTCACAGGCACCAGTCCTCACTTGAAGCTCACGAGAATCGGACAGGTGACCTTACTCAGTCAAGCTGAGACTGTGACCAATATAGTTTTACCAATAAACGGAGAAAAGACCATTTGGTGTTTGTAACTTAACCCCTCATAACTTATTTATATACGTATAAGCCAAGTTAAGGAAACTCTACCCAAACCTTATATATAAAACCCCAAAACAGCTATCACAAGGTAAGGTTAGGTAAGGTTAGGTTAGGTCAGGTCAGGCTCTGTTAGGTCAGGTTCTGTTAGGTCAGGTTCTGTTAGGTTCTGTTAGGTCAGGTTCTGTTAGGTCAGGTTCTGTTAGGTCATTAGGTCAGGTTCTGTTAGGTCAGGTTCTGTTAGGTAGGTTAGTTTAGGTTTAAGTAAGTCAGGTTCTGTTAGGTCAGGTAGGTTAGGTTCTGTTAGGTCAGGTTCTGTCAGGTCAGGTAGGTTAGGTTCTGTTAGGTCAGGTTCTGTCAGGACAGGTAGGTTAGGTTCTGTTAGGTCAGGTTCTGCCAGGTCAGGTAGGTTAGGTTCTGTTAGGTAGGTTAGTTTAGGTTTAATTAGGTCAGGTTTTATTAGGTCAGGTTCTGTCAGGTCAGGTAGGTTAGGTTCTGTTAGGTCAGGTTCTGTTAGGTAGGTTAGTTTAGGTTTAATTAGGTCAGGTTCTGTCAGGTCAGGTTCTGTTCGGTCAGGTTCTGTTAGGTCAGGTAGGTTAGTTTTTTTTTTAACGGGGATTAGCCCACCCGGGCACAGGTCACTGACCCACATCAGGGCCCAGGGGGTGAAAATTTAATCATAATAACAATAATAATTCATAGTAAATAAAATTTATAATGAAAAGTAAAATAAAATATTAATGATAATAATAATAATCACAACACTGTGATAATAATAAATACAAAGAAATGCAAGAATGAAAAAAAATCAACAGTGAGAAACGCTATATGTATGTTGTTTTGTCATGTAATAGAAACAATTGAGACCCTACAATTGTGTGTGTAAATGAGGCAGAAAGTCAGATCAGCAACCTGGGACTTGGTCACAATTTTCGTGATGCCATATGGCAGCAGGGTCTACCATTAGACAACACATTATGCTGCCAATATCTTCCCAGGTTTAATTAGGTCAGGTCTGTTAGGTCAGGTTCTGTTAGGTAGGTTAGTTTAGGTTTAATTAGGTCAGGTTCTGTTAGGTCAGGTTCTGGTAGGTCAGGTAGGTTAGGTTCTGTTAAGTTAGGTTCTGTGCATTGTCATTTCCATTTTCTTATTCAGTATCATGCAAATAACATCTGGTGATAACCTTTGCCAATACAATATCACTATTAATAATACCCCAAGGATCACAAAATGGAATATCAAATCATCAAATATAATCTGCATCAATGTAGCCCTTTAGATTACTGTCAATTAACACTAAAAGCCAACCTCTCAAGATCCACCCCTTCAATTACTCCACTTTCTGGTAAAACAGGTTGGTTGTCATTTGTGCTCCTACGATTATTTTAAGTTTATTGCCAGGTTTTACGAGAAAGACGATCATTCTATCCAATTTTTACCTGGTCCTTCCACTTCTAAGGTATTGTACTTTCGGACATGGTGCGCCCCAAAGTTTTGAACTACTGAAACATTTAGGTTAGTTTAAGCTAGGCCTATCGCCCCCAGCTAAAGGTCAGGTTAGGCCTACCGGGGGTCCAGGAGGAGGAGGCCCCGGCTAGAGGTCAGGTTAGGTTAGATGACTCGTGTTCTCCCCCACCCAAACACCCTGATTTCTCAGGCTCTCCCCCAGTATTGTTAGCAAAAACAAGCCATTTCCGCCCAAAATAAAGATTAGATTCGTTTAAAACACACCAAAATACATTGGAAAAACATATTGATCAACCCATAGGGACTCATGTCCTAAAGTAAAAAATTACCACCCAACCTAAGGTATTATTGCGTTTACACAACGTTCATTCCTACCACTAATCTATTATCATATTCGAATAAGACATCTAATTATAAGATAATTTTCATCTATTACATTACCGGCGGAAATGTATAATAACAGAGATAGCATATCCAAAATGTTCTCTATTTTCTTCCAATAATCTTTCCATTATCGCCTACCTCACCTCCGACACTGCGTGCCTCCTTCATAAATCATCACGCACATGCGTTTCCATACACGTCACGCAGCCAATCAAAAGCGTTTTTGCTTTTGGAACCAATTAAAATGATTTTGGGTTTAATTCGCGGTATATTTGATCCAATCAAATTCCAGTTTTATTTTGGGTCTCTTATATTTTGAAATTCAAGTTCAGTTCCAACCATGGAAGTCTGCGATGGGTGTCACTGATTGCGAGTTTTTGGGGAAAAAAAAACGTAGAAACTATAGCATTTTTTCGATCGCATGGTGTTCTTCCAACCTCAGTAAAGTGTACTAAGAGCAAGACAATGCAAATATCTCAAAGACCAACATATGTGACGTTGGGTAAGAATCCCAGAATGCAACGATGAACAAGAACCAGGCCAATAAGGTAAGAAATAGGTGATTCCATCATATGGTGAGAGTCAGTTAGGTTAGGTTAGGTTTGGTTTTTGTTTTTCTATTGGTTTTGGTGTATTTTGCCATGATATTTTTCGGAAAACGTCCAACGAAAAAAATTCGAAAAAAACGGCTAATTTCCGCCAGAAATGAAGGTCATATTCGGTCTGAACACACAAACACACTAGACAAATATATTTTTTACTCTCTAACAGAGAACGGTGTGACAATGCAAATTTACCCAACCTAACCTAACCTAACCTAACCCAACCTAACCTAACCTCTAAGGTGTTGAGTTACCTATATATATATATATATATATACTAAGCAGTCTACAAGTGACCTTGAGAACAATTTATATATCTAGTGCCATTTTTTCTAGTTTGACAGTTGAACCATTCATTTTTTTCCTGTCATTTTTCCTGTGCTATTTTTTCCGAGTTCCACCACTCAGAGCCTCAAATACACCATACACACACCATACACACACACCATACACAACCCCAAACTCATACACACAGACATACCATACAGTAGTAATCCCTCTATAGTAAACAATGTTAAACATCTCCTGCATGAAGTGTGTATTAGACACACCTCCAAGAGAGGCAGCAGTGAGTGAGGGAGGACGTGTTTACGGTAACCCTTCACTATAGCATCAGTCACCGACGCACGGGGCCGGACCCCTAAATTAACATGTTGATCTTGAACACAATACGGTCAAATTACCAAAAAGTTCTTTTCGTTACTCACCTCTGCGTTGAACGATTTAACAGCATCCATTTTGAAAAACGCACTTTCACTACTTTCCCCGAAAAAAATGTGATTTACAAATAAAATTCCACATTACTGTCCGCCATGATGTTTGAGGACAGCTACACTATAGACAATAGAAGAATGACGTAATTTTCCGACATTAAAACAAAAAAGCATCAATACATTGGCTTAATCGTATCTTAAAGTTCTCTGAATATATATGTTTATATAATTAAGCTTGTTCGTATGTTCTTTTATCCATGTTTCATATTTTATACATATATAGATGTATCCTCCTGAAGATGAATTTTCAGTGGTACTTGGTCCCGTCCACCACCTTATACTGTCTTACTGTTGGTGGCAGTAATGAGAGGCACGCGCTCGGTGGTCCTACCCTTTATCTATACATTAACAAAAGAGATTTATTTTATCTGCGAATCTGATATAATATTTCAAAAAACTTCTTAACGTAAAACGGAGTTAAGTGTATTTTTAAGCTTAAATTGGGTAAATATATCTTAATTACCAAATGTTGCTTTTTACTAATAATTCTTCATGTGATATTAAATATTAACATTGAACTCGTACTTTATAAGGTGACGTAATATTAGTAGATGATGAAGGTAACAGCGTACGTTATCATACATAACAACTTGAATATGTCAATAACAGCGCCGAGAACAGCGAAAACAGCACGAAAAACGGTGATAACAGCGCCGCGAACAGCGAAAACGATGATATTGGCGCAAATAACAGCAAAGACACTTTGCTGGCTTTGCTGTTCTCGGTGCCATTAACGCCGTTTTCAGGCTATCTTTGCTGTTTTTGACGCCATTAACGCCGTTTTCAGGTTGAATTTGCTGTTCTCCGTGACATTATGGTAGTTTTCAGGCTGTCTTTGCTGTTCTTCACGTTTATCACTCAGCCTGTAAACTTTGTGATAAACCTTTGTGGGGTTTCGTGATGTTGTCTTGTGAGGTTGAGATATTGGTTCACACTCAGGATGGGATGGAGAAAGGAAACTCACAATGTGCTCACTGTATACATATTGTATTGGATGTACAATGCAGCTTGTTGCTGGGTAGGTAGCATGGTAATACAGTAATCGTTGAGTAGAGAGAGCTGGGTGGTGAGGGTGCCCTGAGTGAGGGCACGTGGCTTGAGGGACGCCTAGGTCGCCGGCGGGAGCGGCAGCCACAGGGCTGGCGCGGAGGTGGTGTTGCTTGCTGGTGGCACTGTGTAGGAGAGAGGGTGGTCACAGCGGTGTCAGGTCTTATAAGGCGGGGGTAGGCGAGAACATAAGAATGGAGGAAACTGCAGCGGGCCTATTGGCCCATACTGGGCACTCCCGTTTACACCCAACCCCTATTGCTCATATAAGCATCCAACCTATGTTTGAAGCTATTCAGCGTATTTGAGTTAATGATGATATTTGGTAACTTGTTCCATTCATCCACTATTCTGTTTCCAAACCAGTGTTTACCTATTTCCCGCCTAAATCTAAATTTGTCTAATTTAAAACCATTGTTACGAGTTCGCTCCTGGTTGGATAGTTTGAGTACCTTTGTAATGTCCCCTTTGTTTAGCCCTGCCTTCCACTTGTACACCTCTATCAGGTCGCCCCTCGCTCTACGTCTCTCGAGGGAGTGCAAATTAAGATGCTTTAACCTGTCTCTATACTCAAGGTTCCTAATGCCCGGGATTAATCTTGTCATTCTCCTCTGAATTCTTTCCAAGGATTCTATATCCATTCTGTAATACGGTGACCAGAACTGAACTGCGTAACCAGGTGTGGTCTCACAAGAGCAAGATACAGTTTTAGGATGACCTCGCTAGTCTTGTAACTAACACTCCTTTGTATGAACCCAAGTACTTTATTAGCCTTGTTACGAGCAAAAACACATTGTTTACTTGGCTTAAGGTTCCTACTTATCATAACTCCTAAATCTCTCTCGCAGTCAGATTTCTCTATGGCATCGTTGTTCATCTGGTATCTGGTTTCCCTGTTTACATCTCCTATACTAAGTACTTTACATTTGTCCACGTTGAATTTCATCTGCCATTTTTCAGACCATTCGAAAAATTTGTTTAGATCTTCCTGTAGTTTTAGGTAGATAGTTGACCCCCGCTCCGTGGGCGGCGCTGGAGGCGTAGACTGGGGAATTCGAGAAGGTTCGGTGCTTGTAGGAGAGGAATCCACTACAATACTCCCCTTCCCCTCCAGGCGCGGCAGGAGGCTGGAGGTTGGCAGGGTTGCTTGCCACATGTGAGGCAGAACGGGCGGTGCATGCCACATGTGAGACATAACGGCGAGGGCGTGGATGAGCCGGCCGCTAGGGGGGGCAACTCTGTCTAGATACACGAGATCTGTGGGAGAAAAGAGGGAGAAGGGGGTTGTGGAGGCGATGAAGTTTCCGCTTCCCTCACGGCAGGTACAGAGTCCTCAGATGCGCCTGGTGGGGTGTGTGGGCCTGGGTCAGGAGCAGGGGCTGCTTCAGCAGAAGCGGATGAGGGCTCGTAACAGCAGCTGGGTCCACGACAGCAGCAGGGTGCAGGACAGTAGCAGGGAGTACCTGAGGGAGAAAAGAGGGGTGTGTGGGTCCGCACTCAGGCACATGGGCCGCGTCGGGAGCAGGGGCTGCATCAGGAGGAGCGGCAGGGGGTACTGCTGGGCCGGGGGCGGCGTCTGAGGCAGGACGGGTGTGCTGGGGTCGGTAGGACGTGGTGCTTGGGGCAGGAAGAGGAGCTGGTGTCTGCTTAGAGAAGCAGTGCTGCTCTAGGGTGTCTAACCTGCGCTGTAGAGACAGTAGCTGTAGAGCCGATGAGAGCTGCCTCTGTGTGGATAAGCCAGTCTTCCATGTTGCTTGAAGACTGGGAGCATGATCTGTTTCTCCTCCATCCTGTGTGAGTGCGAACCTCCGGGGTCACCATTTGTGGGGTATGGGATGTTTGGGTTCCCATCCTGTGTGAGTGTGTCACTCCGGGGTCACCATTTGTGGGGTTATGAGATATTGGTTCACACTCAGGATGGGATGGAGAAAGGAAACTCACAATGTGCTCACTGTATACATATTGTATTGGATGTACAATCCAGCTTGTTGCTGGTTAGGTAGCATGGTAATAAGCATTGAGTAGAGAGAGCTGGGTGGTGAGGGTGCCCTGAGTGAGGGCACGTGGCTTGAGGGACGCCTAGGTCGCCGGTGGGAGCGGCAGCCACACGGCTGGCGCGGAGGAGGAGGTGCTTGCTGGTGGCACTGGGTAGGAAAGAGGGTGGTCACAGCGGTGTCAGGCCTTATAAGGCGGGGGTAGGTGTGGGTAGATAGTTGACCCCCGCTCCGTGGGCGGCGCTGAAGGCGTAGACTAGGGAATTCGAGAAGGTTCGGTGCTTGTAGGGGAGGAATTCACTACAGTCTCACACTCAGGATGGGTTGGAGAAAGGAAACTCACAATGTGTTTTCTGTATTATATATATATATATATATATATATATATATATATATATATATATATATATATATATATATATATATATATATATATATATATATATATATATATATATATAGATATATATATATATATATTGTATTGAATGTACAGTGCAGTTTGGTGCTGGGAAGTTGCTGCGTGGTTAGAAGCGTGGAGTAGAGAGAGCTGGTTGGTGAGGAGCTTGCTCAGAGGAGGTGTTGCGGGGCTCAGGTAGAAGAAGTAAATAGTTCACGGCGAGGTGAGGCTTATATAGGGGAGGTAGGCGTGGCTTGATAGCCGACCTCCTCTTTGTCAGACCACGAGGCATTGGCTGGGGAACTCGAGGCATTGGCTGGGGAACTCGACAAGGGGTCGGCTATTCAACGACAAATGGCAGTTGTAGTTGTAGGGGAAATATCCACTACAATACTCCCCCTTCACTCCGGGCATTGCAGGAGACTTGTTGTCGGCAGGGTTGTATCCCACATGTGAGACATAACGGGCGGGGGTATGGATTAGCCGGCCGCTACGGGAGACGATTCTGTCTAGAGACATGAGATCTGTGGGAGAAGCAAAGGGAGAAGGAGGGTTGTGGATAAGAGAAGGTTGTACAGGCAAGGAATGTGGTGCCTCTCTCGCTGCAGGTACACAGTCCTCAGTGGCGCCGGATGGGGTGTCTGGGTCCATAGGGCCAGCTGCAGGGTCCACGTCAGGGGCAGTAGGTCAAGGTAAATAGATAACACGCAGACCCATAGGAATTCACTAATTGGCAACTCTACTCTCGAGATCGCTAAGCCACACCCCTTTTGCCACTTCATGTGTTTGTAATATTGTGGTGTTATTATCTGTATAGATCCTTTCTCTACTGTTTGATGTAACCAAGTGGGCGGAGCTTAATAAGTGAAGTCATCGCTAGCCAATCAGCGACGTTGGATGAAATCCAGCGGTCACAAGTAAGATATTTATGTTTATTTTATATATTTAATCAGTGGCTCCAATTAAATAAAAAAAAACTTCATTCCATACATTTATTGTACAACTTTTAATACCATCATAAGCCTTCAAAAATACGTAAATAAAAATTTCATTTTTATTTTCATTAGCGTAGATCCTATGGGAGTGCGGCTATGTGTTATCTACCTACCTTGCAGTGTACTGCGCAAATCATTGTGACTCCTAAAAAAACCTTTAATTCACATGACGCTACATAACATTCAAATCCACGGCGCTTATAGAATCTCAGAGAACGGGGGTCATTGATAAAGACTAACTCACCTACTCAATGTTACTGAATCATGTGTTGTATTGTACCCAGGTACGGCTATATAATATTAATTGTATGTATTCATAGCATTAAGGAGAGACGTGTTTTTCCCATTCGTTTTACACTCAGGATCCCTTCCAGTAAGTCCCGCCTTCGAACACAGTTGTCAATGCGTTTATTCCACTCTCTACTGGCAAACTCAATCTTGAATTAGTCTGGGTAAATCAACTTTAGTAATTCGCCAGACCCTTGTCAACTGAGGGTCATCCTTGAATGAATAACAGTTGGTTTGTTTGTTATTTCTGTCATTGCGTGAGTAGCGATAGCTGGTAACTCAGGGGTATATAAACCAGTGCGAGACGGGAGGTCAATCTTCTGTAACGCCTCCCAACTTCATTCTCAGATAGAGAGG